ATTCAACAATATATATAGTATATATATATAGACACACACACACACACACAGGAGCAGTAGGTTGAAGTTTATTGTTATAAATTTTCTAGTTTCTAGATGTATTGCTATGAGTTTGTTCAAAGTTAACCTGTACTAATTTTTTTTTCTTTCCTGAAGACATGGGCACCAGAAAAATGAAACTGTTTTGTGGACTCTTGCTGACAGCACTTCACTCACTGCCTGGCAGGTGGCCATGTGCCCCTCTTCTGTGCATTAGAGCCTGCGCAAGAGGTCATCAGCCCTTGTCACTCCTAGTGTAGAACAGCGCTGTATCATCACGTTCCTAGTGAAAGAGAAAGTGAAACGAGCAGAAATTCTTTGTAATGCACATTATGGGAAGAGACCATGTATTATGCAAGTGTCTGTGATTGATACAGTAAGTTTTCTAAAGGCTGTAAAGAACTCTCGAACCTGCCACCTACTCATGTTCAACCAGCAGCTATATTTGATGTGAACACTGACTTTGTCAAAGAACTGTGTCAGAAATTTAAACAAGTATACATTCTACCTCCTTGTAGAAGCTGTCATTTGTATCGTCAGTTTATTCTGTCGGGGCATGAACATTCAGAACAATGATATCACACGAGTGACCTCAGTGACCTCACTCGCGAGATCACATAGTTCATGCGATCCCCACCTCCCGCTACGCCATCCATATCACACTATTATGTACAACATCCTATCACTAACGAACACTACCCTTTTAACTGCTGATATGATTGTCTTATGTAAAAAAAACCTCTACCTAATTTATGATTCTCAGTGCCCTTTCCATAGAAAAAATGTATATCGCTAGCTGGTTTGCGCCCACCTCTGCCCCATCTGACCTGTACTCCCACTAAATGCAACTTATCTTTTGATATTTATTTCGCAACTGCCATGAGAGAACCTGCCCTATACAGACTCCATACATTCCACGTACCAAATCTCATGCCCATTTTCTTCAGCGCAGTTTATCCAAAGAATCTGTCCAAGTCCCAGACGCTTTGTGACATTTCGTAACAGGCTAATTTTATGGTGAGAACTTGTTAGCCCTACACCCAAGCTGGAGAACCACCGCTTGTCAGCTGTCTGCAACTAATTGTTCTATATATTCTCAGCTACCCTCCATATCTGGAGGCCGTCTCCTTCATCCGCAANAATAACCTGTGCTGTATATATATATATATATTGTTTCATATATGGAAATGAGCATACTTATATAATTGTTTACTGTATTTTGTACTTCTTAGGCATCTTAAATATTCTTTCCAAACTGTGGACCGGCTCACAACCAATGCATAGACTAAACAAATGTGTGTGTGGTCTCCTCTCCTTCCACACATTTGTGTGAAGGACAGAACCCAGACTGACTGGGGTACAAGGGCAGAACAGAGCTTGGAGGTGAAAGCGAGACACAGAGAATTGGATTAGAGTTGTCACAAGGGCTAGACGAGCAGGACTGCGGCCTCACCCCTTGTAGGGAATATTTAAAGTGCCCGCCTAATTCTACTTCATCAAGCATTCCTTGTTCTTATACTCATAAATCCAATTGCTTGTTGTTGTCGGTTCACTTAATCCCACCACCGTATATCGAATCACTCACCACTCGGTGAACCTCAGTATCGCCTGAAATACTATAGTATATATATATAGACACACACACACGCAGGAGCAATAGGTTGAAGTTTATTGTTATAAATGTTCTAGTTTCTAGGTGTATTGCTATGAGGGTGTTCAAAGTTAACTTGTACTTCAATGTTTTTTTGCCTGAAGACATGGGCACAACTGTTTTATGGACTCTTGCTGACAGCACTGCACTCACTGCCTGGCAGATGGTCATGGGCCCTGCTTCCGCGTGTTAAAGATAGCACAAGAGGGCATCAGCCCTTGTCACTCCTAGTGTAGAACAGCGCTGTATCATCACGTTCCTAGTGAAAGAGAAAGTGAAACGAGCAGAAATTCTTTGTAATGCACATTATGGGAAGAGACCATGTATTATGCAAGTGTCTGTGATTGATACAGTAAGTTTTCTAAAGGCTGTAAAGAACTCTCGAACCTGCCACCTACTCATGTTCAACCAGCAGCTATATTTGATGTGAACACTGACTTTGTCAAAGAACTGTGTCAGAAATTTAAACAAGTATACATTCTAGCTCCTTGTGGAAGCTGTCATTTGTATCGTCAATTTATTCTGTCAGGGCACGAACATTCAGAACAGTGATATCACACGAGTGACCTCTTAGTATTATGTACAACATCCTATCACTAACGAACTCTACTCTCTTAACTGCTGTTATGATTGTCTTATGTAAAAAAAAAAAAACCTGTACCTAATTCATGATTCTCAGTGCCCTTTTCATAGAAAAAATGTATATCGCTAGCTGGTTTGCTCCCACCTCTGTCCCATCTGACCTGTACTCCCACTAAATATAACTTATATTTTGATATTTATTTCGCAACTGCCGTGAGAGAACCTGCCCTATACAGACTCCATGCATTCCATGTACCAAACTTCATGCTCATTTTCTTCAGCTTAAGTCACTTATCCAAAGAATCTGTCCAAGTCTGAGCCCCTTCATGACATTTTATAACAAGCTTCTTTTATGGTGAGAACTTCGTAGCCCCCCCACCCAAGCTGGAGGACCACCCCTTGTCAGCTGTCTATGACTGATTGTTCTATATATTCTCAGCTACCCTCCATATCTGGAGGTCATCTCCTTCATCCGCAACCTTAGGATATGCCATGCCGTTATAACAAGGGACCCACCTAACATGGTGAAACAGACAGTATGTAGTTATTAATTTTCATTGTGGCATATTCATGAAACCAGTTGTTACCGGTTCAGCGTTTGTGGTGTGTCTTCTTTTACAAGTTCTTGACACAAAATTCTTCCACTGAAAAATCAATTTAACCTCTAGAGTTAGGTCTTTTCAGTGGCCTGTAGTTATGCTAGTCTTCATTCTAGTGATAAGTGGCACACTTTTATCACTTCTCTCTGTTGCATGAATAAATGGTACAGTTGAGTTGATTTTAAACCCATTAACTAATTCGTCTGTATAAATATATGAGATAATAAATTTGCCACATTCATTGTGTGTAGTTAATTGTGACACTTGCTAATATTGCTGAGGGAAAAGTACGTATGTATAACTAATCAAAATTACATAATTTATTTTTCAGATCTAGGACACATCATTCTTTACCCATGGTCAGACATTTCTGCGGAAACACTTTTAAACATTGATCAAGAATGTGTGTTAAAAGTTGAAGTTTCATCACAATCTGTACAGTCTCCAATAATATTAGACAGAAACAACAGAGAAAAGCCATTTGATTCTAAACACCCACTGAATCAGCATGATACTGAAGGTGTTATAGGCGTTCACCAGATTAGAGACTTTATGGAAAAATTACAGTCAGATTCAGATATTAAAAAATCTGTTAAAAAACTGATTTATCTTTTAAGAAATGCTGTACGGGTGAGAGTTCAGACACATCCAGGAATTTGTAAGGAATGTTTAGAGTGCACTAAACACATGAATGTTAAGACTCGTGCACATAAGCTAACTTCTGAATGCTCGGACACAAAATACCAGCAGGAATTTCTCCATTGTTTCAAGGACGACCCTTATGAAGCACAACCATCAGAAACCTCTTTGACAGACATTGAACCCAGAAGCAGTCATGCCAAAGCTTGCATGTGTTCAGAGAAAGAATTAATAATGTCCCATGGCCACAGTACATGTTTAAAACACACAGATGTAGAAGAGTGCTTACAGTCAGAACCAACAACATACAGCAAAGAAATGTGGACCACCAAAAATCCAAAATTGTGTCATCATTCAAAAGTTGGCATCTTATTTTCTGGTGGTTTGGATTCAACAATACTAGCAGCACTTGCTCACGAATTTATTCCACTTGGTGAGCCAATAGACTTGTTAAATGTTGCATTTGAAAGAGAACGGAAGGAAGGAAATCAGAACAGGAAAGCAGCGAGGGAAAAGAAACACGTTCGTTCTTCAGAAGAAAAAGAGGTTACATATTTAGTTCCAGATCGAATTACAGGGAAGAATGCATTAGATGACTTAAAAAGACTGTATCCAAACAGGCAGTGGAATTTTGTGCAGGTGAGCAAACTTGTTAAATCTTGTTGAATGCATGGGTGTTGGATAGCCAGTCGGTATTCTGCCTAAATTTGTGTGGCCACTTAAAGAGTAACAGTGAGCAGGAAATAACACTATTACCATTATGATGGAGGATTTCAAGTAAGGAATACTTACATGTATCATATCTGGGCTAATCATATTTCAGAGTAATAACAAAATTATATATACATATGTAAGATTACAGATTTTCACTGCAAACTGTGCACACTTTTGTGGGTTGTGGTGCCATTTTCTAATGGAAAAGGTTTCTGATGTTTTACATGTTGTGAAGCTAAAAGCATTATGTTCCTCTGAAATATCAGAAACCATGATTATACATCATCAAAGAAAGAGACACAATGTAATGTTACTTTCTCTGTCAGAGATTTTAGCAATACTTTCTTTTTATTAAGAAAACCTTCATGATCTTTCCCAATTATGCTAACAGAAGTACTAAGTTATGATTATATAGTAAATATGTAGTAGTAGTTATCTATATATTCCTCTTTTTGTCAGATAGATGTTACTCAAGAAGAATTAAGCATAGAACGTGACAGAGTCATCTCAGATCTAATATATCCACTAAACACAGTACTTGATGAAAGTTTGGGTTGTGCACTCTGGTTTGCAAGTCGTTGTGAAGGTCACCTTGTGCAACAGAGTGGTCCAGATACACGTTACAGCTCTCCAGCAAGGGTAAATATTAAATGAATGTAACAGTTTGAGTCTTTGTATCTGAAATATGATCAGTGCACTGAAGTCAACGTTCGAGCTTCAGATCCTTCACTTGTAAGCATTGTTTATGCTTCATATTGTATCTACTGTCAATAGTTCCAATCTTTTACTATTCTTAAGGCAATTTTTCCTGTAGCATCTGTATCACAACTAGGAAAAATTAAAAAAAGTAATGGTGTCCCTGTAACAGGCTCTAGAGGCCCATAGGGTTGTGAGATGTTGAGTTTCCCACATTTTCTAGACAGTTGGCTCACAGATGGTGGTAAGGTTGTAAGCCTTACGTGCTGGCCACACTTTACCCCCCAGGAAGATTCCTGGTACTCATTTCTCTTAGAGACTGAGTCAACCCCAGGGCCATAGTGCAGCTGGAAGGATTGGATAAATTGAAAAAATCCACCACATGNGTGCACACTTTTGTGGGTTGTGGTGCCATTTTCTAATGGAAAAGGTTTCTGATGTTTTAGATGTTGTGAAGCTAAAAGCATTATGTTCCTCTGAAATATCAGAAACCATGGTTATACATCATCAAAGAAAGAGACACAATGTAATGTTACTTTCTCTGTCAGAGATTTTAGCAATACTTTCTTTTTATTAAGAAAACCTTCATGATCTTTCCCAATTATGCTAACAGAAGTACTAAGTTATGATTATGTAGTAAATATGTAGTAGTAGTTATCTATATATTCCTCTTTTTGTCAGATAGATGTTACTCAAGAAGAATTGAGCATAGAACGTGACAGAGTCATCTCAGATCTAATATATCCACTAAACACAGTACTTGATGAAAGTTTGGGTTGTGCACTCTGGTTTGCAAGTCGTTGTGAAGGTCACCTTGTGCAACAGAGTGGTCCAGATACACGTTACAGCTCTCCAGCAAGGGTAAATATTAAATGAATGTAACAGTTTGAGTCTTTGTATCTGAAATATGATCAGTGCACTGAAGTCAACGTTCGAGCTTCAGATCCTTCACTTGTAAGCATTGTTTATGCTTCATATTGTATCTACTGTCAATAGTTCCAATCTTTTACTATTCTTAAGGCAATTTTTCCTGTAGCATCTGTATCACAACTAGGAAAAATTAAAAAAAGTAATGGTGTCCCTGTAACAGGCTCTAGAGGCCCATAGGGTTGTGAGATGTTGAGTTTCCCACATTTTCTAGACAGTTGGCTCACAGATGGTGGTAAGGTTGTAAGCCTTACGTGCTGGCCACACTTTACCCCCCAGGAAGATTCCTGGTACTCATTTCTCTTAGAGACTGAGTCAACCCCAGGGCCATAGTGCAGCTGGAAGGATTGGATAAATTGAAAAAATCCACCACATGGGGACTCGAACCCATGACCTTCCAGCTTGTAGCATAGTGCCTCAACCAACTACGCTACTGCTTGCCCCCATATTATAACTAGGAAAAGATAAAAAAGGCTGTTTAAATGGCTTGTATAGTAATATGGTATTACTCACACACTCATCATAAAACTAGACTAATCTNCACAATGTAATGTTACTTTCTCTGTCAGAGATTTTAGCAATACTTTCTTTTTATTAAGAAAACCTTCATGATCTTTCCCAATTATGCTAACAGAAGTACTAAGTTATGATTATGTAGTAAATATGTAGTAGTAGTTATCTATATATTCCTCTTTTTGTCAGATAGATGTTACTCAAGAAGAATTGAGCATAGAACGTGACAGAGTCATCTCAGATCTAATATATCCACTAAACACAGTACTTGATGAAAGTTTGGGTTGTGCACTCTGGTTTGCAAGTCGTTGTGAAGGTCACCTTGTGCAACAGAGCGGTCCAGATACACGTTACAGCTCTCCAGCAAGGGTAAATATTAAATGAATGTAACAGTTTGAGTCTTTGTATCTGAAATATGATCAGTGCACTGAAGTCAACGTTCGAGCTTCAGATCCTTCACTTGTAAGCATTGTTTATGCTTCATATTGTATCTACTGTCAATAGTTCCAATCTTTTACTATTCTTAAGGCAATTTTTCCTGTAGCATCTGTATCACAACTAGGAAAAATTAAAAAAAGTAATGGTGTCCCTGTAACAGGCTCTAGAGGCCCATAGGGTTGTGAGATGTTGAGTTTCCCACATTTTCTAGACAGTTGGCTCACAGATGGTGGTAAGGTTGTAAGCCTTACGTGCTGGCCACACTTTACCCCCCAGGAAGATTCCTGGTACTCATTTCTCTTAGAGACTGAGTCAACCCCAGGGCCATAGTGCAGCTGGAAGGATTGGATAAATTGAAAAAATCCACCACATGGGGACTCGAACCCATGACCTTCCAGCTTGTAGCATAGTGCCTCAACCAACTACGCTACTGCTTGCCCCCATATTATAACTAGGAAAAGATAAAAAAGGCTGTTTAAATGGCTTGTATAGTAATATGGTATTACTCACACACTCATCATAAAACTAGACTAATCTAATGCTTTGATATATGTATTTTATCAACATCAGAAATAATGGTTATACTCTTTCCCCATCAGTACTCAGCTCTTCAGGAATCAGGTAGCGGCATTTTGTCCACAACAGATGTAAATTGTTACCAGCGTGAATCAGATATTATAGCCTCGTTTGTGAAGAAGAGGATGTGTCGTGCAAAGAAGTTCTTTTTTCCTGTGTTTGTAACAGGAATCGTTGTGACACTGAAATGAAAGTGGGATGCCCTAAAGATTATTTCTACCATGCACTATGTAAAAGATAATGTCACAAGCAAGGTTTGAAAGAATTTTATTATTATAGAGACTCCGATATGTATAGTACCTCAGAATAGTTAGGCTGCATTTTAGTTTTCTAACTCAGATAACTGTGCCTTAACCAAATCTCACTCCCCCCACATAATTTATCCCTCCCTACAGCGTGTGGTCTGAAATGTTAACTTCAGAAGATGATCTACATATACAGTAGAACTTGGTTATAACGTCATCAAAGGGACCTAAAAATAGTGTCGTTATAAACGAATGTCGTTGTAACCGAAATGGGCACTTCCACAGTAGCCTTATGTTAGTCATGTAAAAATCTACCAAAAACCGAGTTAAACTGTTGCATTTTTTAGTGAAATACATAGTTAAGTACAGACTAACGTAACATTAACGTGGAATTAATATGGATTCTTCATATCGTTTGTACTGTAGAATTCACCAAACCAAATTCGCGGCATACATCAGCTTTTTTCCTTCCATTTTCTATTTCACGAATCACTTTACCTTTCTCTTCAACGCTTAAAACTTTCCTTTTCATTGCCATGTTTTCACTACTGCACTTCTCTGGGTTTAGGCAGGAACACTATAGGGTAAGTAGACAATGTGAGGCCCTGTTACACGAGATTCTAGGAAAGGAATGCAGTTAACAACCTGCCGCGTCCTCTTGCACTATTCACGCAGTCCCACCCCACACCCTTGTTTTCGCATAAAACCCACGCTCCTCTTGCAGCCCGCGGTCGTGTTCTTCCAGGACAGTCACGTCAGCAAGTAGAGAAAGTGAGGGTGGGCAGACACATCGAACTTTCCCACGATATCAGAGAAATTCAGGAATGAAAAT